GGGCGGTGGGGGATGAGGGAGGAAGGGCCTCAGGTCAGGACACCCTTGCCGCATTCAAGGCCTGGAACGGCAAGGGCCGCCTTGGTTGTTGGCAGCCGTCTTTTAACACGCCTCGCTGACGGTCATGGGACGACAATCGCCCCTGCAGGGCGTACTACACCCCAGAGTCGGAGGCGGACGTGAGGGCAATAGTAAAGGACTGCCACGCCCGGGGCCAGCGGCTGAGGGTCGTCGGCGGCGCGCTCTCGCCGAACGGCGCCAGCTTCGGCGGTGAGCCCCGCGCTCGCGGCCCCGCCGGTGGCAGCAAGGGGGTTGGGCCGGGGAAAGGGGTTTCCGGTCTCATTCGATCGATGGCAGCTGGAGGGGCGGTGCAATGTTGCCGGATGGCTGCAGCCAGCCGATGTCACATCCCCTTGCTTGCGGCATCGCATGCGTATGCTGCCTCCGTAGGCACCGCTCAAGGCGCCGCCGCCACTGACAGAGTCCTCCACACCACCCCTTCCTCCTCCCCCCCACACACTCATACATACACACATACACATATGCACACTCATACATATTTTCCGCAGAGGAGGGCATGATGAGCATGGCCCTGCTGGATAAAGTGCTGTGGGTGGACCAGGCCAGCGGCGAGGTGGGTGCGCCTGCGCGCCCGCCGCGGGCCGCGGCGGTTGCAGTTTCGCCAACAAGCGCGAATCGGGCCGGTGTAGGCGTGCACACACATACGCTGTCATGAGAGTCTCCCCACCACGTACACACTCGCCCCTCCCGACAAACACGCGCGCGCATGCGCGTGCGTGTGCGCACGCACGCACGCATGCACGCACGCACGCACGACCGTACACGCGTGCGGCCCGAGCGCGCGCACTAACATGCATACATACACACCATTACCCACATATCTGCACCCTGTGTGTTTGCATCCTCAAACAGGTCCGTGTGCAGGCAGGCTGCCGTGTTCAGCAAGTGGCGGATGAGCTGAAGCCGTATGGGCTGACGCTGCAAAATTACGCCAGCATTCGCGAGCAGCAGATCGGGGGCTTCACACAGGTGTGTTTTTGTGTGTGTGTGTGTGCGTGCTCGTGTGTGTGTGTGTGTGTGTGTGTGTGTGTGCGCGCGTTTGTACGCATTTGTGGTGTGATTATGTGTGTGTGTGCGTGCATGTGTGTGTGTATGTGTGTGTGTGTGTTTGTGTGTGTGTATGTGAGTGTGTGTGTATGTGATCATGCGCGCGCGCATGTGTGAGTACATGTGCGCGCGCGGCGCCGAGCTTGCACCCTGCCTGCATGTGCTGTGCGCACCAGAGGCTGCACTGAGGATCGCGTGCACCAATCCCCCCCATCTAAGGGCTTTCCACACGTCCGTATGCTGGCTCCCATGCAGCCGCTGCCCCGTTCCCTCCACACACACACACTTGCCTCCCCCCTCTCGCCCTCGGCGCCGCCCCGCTGCGCCATCCTCGCAGGTGTCTGCGCACGGCACTGGCGCGGCCATCCCACCCGTGGACGAGCAGGTGGTGGCGCTGAGGATGGTCACCCCCGGCAAGGTGCGTCGCCGCCCCTCGTCCCTGCCCCAGCCCTCCTGTCGCCTGAACAAAGCCCCGCCTCCCTGGCACGCAAATCCAATCGCCCCTCAATGGGCTGGCCGGCTGGCTCTTATCAGGCTCATTAGAGCCTCGAAATCGATCGATCCGCTTTGGGCCCTCTGCATGCCCTCAGATGATTCCTTGCAGCTGTTGTGGGCGGCGTGCGGGACGGAACCACCCCCGGGCGGGTTCAAATTGCTGCAGTCCAGTTTAGAGGCGGTCCTCCCCGTCACCCCTCACGATGGGACCCTGGGAACCGCAGCCTGGCGTCTTGGAGCTGTCGGCTGATGAGGACCTTTTGGCCCCTAGAGCACCCCACAACTCACAAGCCCATGCGCCCGCTTCGAGCCCACCGCCGTATACTCTCTGGCAGCTGCTTGGGGCAGCATGTGGAATGGAACTATCCGAGAGCGGGTGCAAAGCGTTTGCAATATGATTGTGGGTGGTGCTCCAACAGCCCTTGAAACGGGCCCTCAAACCGCAGGGCGTGTTGGAGCTGTCGGCGGATGAGAACCCGACGCTGTTCAAGCTGGCGCGGGTCGGGCTGGGGCTGCTGGGGGTCGTCACGGAGCTGACACTGCAGGTGGGTGGGTGCGCGTGTACATGTGTTTGTGTGCGTGCGTGTATGTGTGTGTGCGTGTGTGTGTGTGCTGGATTGTGCGCGTGCATGCGTGCGTGCGCGTGCGCTCGCGCGCGTGGGCGTGGGCGTGGGCGTGGGCGTGCGCGTGTGCGTGTGCGTGTGTGTGTTGGGGTGGGGGGGTGTGTCAGAGAAAGAGTGAACCAGGGGAACGCGTGCACGCACACTTTTGCTCGTTGAATCTGTGTGATTGAGGCGAGGATGCAGGGCAGAGCTCGCTGGCACCGGCCTGGGACGACAGGGCTGCATACGTAATCCAGGGGCTGCCCTGACGCACGAGTCAGCACGCTCAGCAGGCCCTCGAGACGCATGCATCCGCCAAGCTACAGCGCCGCCCGCGCCGCCCCCACGGAAGCGTCTGACCCGCCCCTGCGGCGAACGGGCGACGGTGCCCGTTCGCCTGCCCCCGCCCTCGCAGGCCGTGCCAGCGAAGCAGCTGATAGAGAAGACCTTCACTGCCACGGCCAAGGAGGTGGAGAAGAACCACGGAAAGTGAGCGCAGGTTCAGCACCTGCAACTGCTGCGCACACCCACAAAAACTCTCTTCAGGCACCCCATCATAGGCCTGTGTTTTTGTGCGAATGTTGGCTTGAAGCCCCCCAAAAGTCCGGGGGGGGGGGGCGCGGCCATACTATGCTGGGACTTTGTTTCCTGCTTTCCTCTTTTCCTGCCAGCCTCTGGAAGCGGGGCCGCCAGTTGAACCCTATGCCCCTCCCCTGACCGCCGCCCGCTGGCGCTCTTCTAGTCATGTGACGTCATTGCTTGGCTATCGTCGGAGCTTTGGCCTTTGCGGTGACATCACTCATCGACCACCGCCCCCACCCCCAGGTGGCTGCGCCAGAACCGCCACATGCGGTACATGTGGCTGCCCTACACCGACACGGTGGTGGTCGTGCAGGTGATGTAGGGGTGACGTCATCTGTTGTCAGCCTTCGCGATACCTGTTTTCGCTTACGCCGCTCACTGTTTGCACATCAAACGTGTTTCAACACTTGTGAAGTCAGCATGCCGACTGGGGTTTAACCTGGGGTGGCCATGTGTTGGGCTGCTTGATCTCGAAGCAGCGCCATGGCATGCGACATGCAAGCAGCCAGGATCCCTCCGTTATGCATGGCGGATGCGTCGTTTGATGACGATTTGCAGATGGAGTTTGATCTCATCTCATCGCGCACTCCCGCTGAGTTGACCGCCGCCCTGCCGACGCCCGCAGGTCAACCCAGCGCCCTCCGCCCGCGCCGCCGAGGAGGCGGCCGCCGCCGCGGCGGCCGCAGAGGCCGGGGAGGGCGGCGCTGCCGCCGCCGCGCGCGCGGCGCCGCTGCGGGCGCTGCTGTCAGAGGCTGTCGGCGCCGACAAGGCTGCGGCGGCGGAGGGTGCGCGCGGCCCGCCCCCGCTCGCGGCATTTCGGTATGTCCCGCGCTTTGATGCGTCACGTCGCAGCATCACACCGCAGATCAAATCATGTGGCGTCCATGACGTCTCGATCCCTTCCATCCCACCCCTCCCTC